TGTATGTGTACCTTTCAGATATGAGTCTATCAGGTCCAACACTGCTGCTCGATGGTCCTTCACCTGCATGGAGACCTGCTTTTTGTCCACTGAACGACAACACACACACACACACACACACACACACAGACAGACACACACACACACACACAGACAGACACACACACAGAGTTATTACACACACAGCCCACATGACTGACATTCATTGAGTATTTACTATTATTTACAGTCAAGCTGCAATGGAGTGTGTGTGTGTGTGTGTGTTTGTGTGTGTGTGTGTGTGAGTGTGTCGTACTCTCGGAGCGCAGCTGGCTGATGGCCTCTGCACACGTCCTCATGAAGATCTGCGCATCCTGATCGATCTGATCACGCTCGCTGTCCGTCATGCGGGACACTTCAGAGCTCATCACACTGCACACACACACACACACACACACACACACACACACACACACACACTTTTTATATGGTCTCCTCTGCTTTCCTCACAGAAGCACCAAAAATGACTGTTATTGTTATACTTGTGGGGACATTTGGTCCACACACACACACACACACACACACACACACACAGAGTTGTCAGACCTGCCGGCGTTCACATAGTCTTTCCTGTGCTGCAGCAGAAAGTCCTTCAGCTTGGAGATGTTGGAGATCTGCAGAGCAAACACACACATTACTCTCTCAGTGTGTGTGTGTGTGAGTGTGTGTGTGTGTGCGTCAAAGACTGAAGCAACATTCATTTCAGAGAAACCCCCTTAAAGCAGCAAACACACACACACACACACACACACACAGAAGGAGTGTGTTGAGTTGTTTTGCTAACTTTCCTGAAATGTTTCTGCTGCTTTAATAACGGCAATTACGTAATTACTGCAGTTGTAGAGCTTGACCTGAACACACACACACACACACACACACATACTGAGCCCGACGGCTGGAAAAACACCATCGGAGGTCAGAGATCAGATCTGCAGACCTGTTTTCTCTCTCTCTCACACACACACACACACACACACACACACACACAGTTGTGCTGGTAACTCTACTCTAGAGCGCCGTCTGCTGGTGACTCTGGAACGGGGCCGCTGCTGCTCTAGTAAACAGACTCAACAGCATCTGCAGCAGCACTTCCTGTCCTGACCAGCAGAGAGCAGCAGTGCAGCGCCACCATCTGAACCCGGGGTGTGTGTGTGTGTGTGTGTGTGTGTGTGTGTGTTTCCCACAGTGGTCCTGGAGGCCTTGCAAGAGGGCAGAGGGATCAATTGCTCTGGTAATTTAAGACCCAAAAGAGCAAGTAATACCTAAACAATGAGCCCCGCACGAGTGAGTGTGTGTGTGTGTGTGTGTGTGTGTTTGAGGCTAAAGGAGACAGTCTGCCTGGCTGCATTTAATCTCATCATCAGAGACCCTGCGTTTACCTCACACACACACACTCACGCACACAAACACACACACACACAGAGTGGAGTCACGCGTGCGCTCGCTCTCGCTCTGACCGTGTCGCCATGGTAACTGATGATAGCGATCACCGTGTCAGCGTGTGGGTCAGTGTGTGTTTTCTGTGAGTCGCCGGCGCTACAATGCGCTCTTTATGCGCGCGACACACACCGTATGATGATCCACTGTAGAGAGCGACGGATTACAGGTGACCGCAGTTTAGCACAGCCAACACACACACACACACACACACACACACACATCAGGTTTCACTTGCAGAAAACACACAGCACATCAACCCGCGGACACGGAGACGGACATCTGTGTGTTAATGATCAAAACATTCATCAGGGGTCTCCACAGAGGAATGAACCGACAACTAATTCAGCATATGCTTTACACAGCGGATGACCTTCCAGCTGCAACCCAGTACTGGGAAACACCCACACAAACACACACTCATACACTCGGCCAGTGTAGTTGATCAGTTCCCCTATAGCGCATGTGTTTGGACTGTGGGGGAAACCGGAGCACCCGGAGGAAACCCACACCAACACGGGGAGAACATGCAAACTCCACACAGAAACACTAACTGACCCAGCCGAGACTCAAACCAGAGACCTTCATGCTGTGAGGCTACAGTGAAACACCACTGCGCCACCGTGCCGCCCATATCCCTCAGATGATTTTGCTTAATAACTGATCAAAACTCAACCGGATATCTGTTCTGGACATGATCCAGCATCCATCTGCAGCTGACAGGAGGAGTCATACACACCGCATCTGTTCCAGGACAGCTGAACAACTAATCGATGATCCATACCCTCATGCAGAACTCACTGTCAAGCGTTCTGTTGGGTTTTCAGGTTAGGGTGAGCTGTGAAACACACTGAGAGCAGACGCTCAGCATCCCGCATCCAGCACTCACGGGGTTCAGGATCTGGATCAGGTCTGGTTCTGTCACTCAATTACATTTGGGTCCTGCAGCGTCTCCATCCTCACACACACACACACACACACACACACTCTCTCTCTCTCTCTCTCTCTCTCTCTCTCTCTCTCT